GAGGAAGCTCCTCAAAGCCCTGAACACAGCCATCATCTCCAGGCAATTTATATGCCAAGTGCGATGATGGTCCTGCCACAGACCCCTGGCAAAGCGGCCGTCCATGACCGCGCCCCAGCCAGTAAGGGAGGCGTCTGTCGAAACGGTTTCCCGGCGACATGACACCCCCAACACTGGCCCTTGGGATAGGAACCAAGGCTTCTTCCATATTTGCAGAGACTGAAGGCACTTGCGCGTTACTCTGATCATACGGAACGGATTCCCTTTGGGTGAGAACCCCTTGGTCTTCAACAACCACTGGAGGGGTTTCATGTGAAGGAGGCCCAGAGGAATAATGTTGGATGCCGCTGCCATGAGGCCCAGCATCCTTTGAAAGTGTTTCACAGTGACGGCCTGGCCTAGCTTCACCCTGGATACCATCGCCAGAATTGACTCGATACGTGCGGGAGACATGCGTGCCTGCATTGTAATCGAGTTCCACACGACTCCCAAAAAGGTCATGCCCTGGGACGGTTCTAGCACACTCTTCTTCAAATTGAGTCTTAACCCCAATTTTTGAATATGACCAAGAACGACATCTCGATGCCGAACTGCCATCTCCCGAGACTGGGCCAGAATAAGCCAGTCGTCGAGATAATTCAATACCCGAATCCCTTGAAGTCTCAGTGGAGCAAGGGCCACGTCCATACACTTGGTAAATGTGCGGGGAGAGAGTGCTAGGCCGAACGGAAGAACCCGATATTGGTACGCTTCGCCCCCGAAAGCGAACCTCAGGTACCTCCTGTGACATGGAAGGATGGAGATGTGAAAATAGGCATCTTTCAGATCTATCGTGACAAACCAGTTCTAGGACCTGATTTGATTCACGATTGTTGAAATGGTCAACATTCTGTATTTGAACCTTCTCAGAGACCGGTTCAACACCCTGAGATCCAAAATTGGCCTTAACCCCCCATCCTTCTTTGGAACTATAAAGTACCGGCTGTAAAACCCGGACTCCCTGTCTACCGGAAGATAGAGATGGGACGGTATGAAAATTGCATATCACGATTATAGTGTCCAAAATAATCGTGATTATCAATATTATCACGGTTTTGTTAAAAATTTATGAAAGTGCTCAAAAAGAACTGATGCTCACACTGAAAACATTTCAACAAGTTTTATAATTGAAAATCAACAAAAAACAAATAAAACAAGCCTCTCTATTCAGTTTTTTAGGCAAGATTCTATTCTATGGCATTTGCTTCTTTATAATGCCCGTCGTCAATAGCAACACATTATTACACAGCGCGCATCCATAACATTCACAACGGACGCGCGCTCTTGTTTCATTCAAATACAACTTGGCGTCTTGCGTCTCCGGTTTTTGATTGTATTGCAAAAATGAAATCAGAGTTGATTTATTGTTTACAGAGTTTGATAATATTGGTGTGATATATCTTGTCTGGACGATTGTTTTACGAAATGAATTCATAAACAGGTAAGATTTAAAACATTAGCTAATCTCATTATCAATTCAATGTCCCCGTAATTATGTGGTAAAAATAAAATCGGTTTAATACGTGATGCATCTATACTTTACTATCCCTTAAAATATCACTCTTAATAATGGTCTTGTTTGAAGTTGTTAGTCTTTGGCTCAAAGCCACTTGCTACGAACTTTTCTTCGCGGAAGCTTCACGTCTATTTCAAGTGAGTGACATAAAATGTTTCAACTCAAAACAACATTTCGTGCTCAATTGTTTCCCAGCCCTCTGAAGTCCTGCCGTGGCTAGGACCTCTTTTTCGAAGTCCTCCTAGCCTGAATGACGTCCCTCAGGTCGCCCCTCTGGCCGAAGGACTTCTGTTTTTGGGAGCGTTTCCTCTGTTGCCAAGACCCCGGAGGGGGGGCTCTAGAGGAAACGCTCTCCTTCTGCACTGTCCTGTGGGAGGAGCTAGCTGATGGCTGGGGCTGATCGCTTTGCCCAACCCTACTAGATTTGGCCTTCGCTTTCCGGGGGAGGTACTGCTGGAACGCCGCAGATTGTTTTCTCGACTCCTGAAACCTGTCGACAACCGAATTAACGGCGTCGCCGAACAGGCCAGAAGCCGAAAGCGGCGCATCCAGCAGGAAGGACCTATCCTTTTCCTTAATTACAGATAAGTTCAGCCACAGATGCCTCTCCGTGGCCACCATGGCCGCCATAGAGCGGCCAATAGCGCTGGCTGCTTCCCTAGTGGCCTGGAGAGACAAATCTGCGGCCTTCCTCAACTCCGAGATGTCCTCAGGTGTAGGCCCCTCCCCCTCATCCAAATCCTTCAGGAGGTCGGCCTGGTATGCCTGCAAAATCGCCATCGAGTGCAGACATGAACCAGCCCGACCCGCCGCCATGTAAGCCTTGCCCACTAATGCAGATGTTTCCCTGCAGGGCTTACTAGGCAACACCGGGGTCTTTAGGGAAGACGCCGATTCGGGAGAGAGATAGCTCGCTAAAGCCTCCTCCACCTTCGGCATCTTCCCATATCCCATATCTCGAGCCCCCACAACATTGCTGTAATCTATTATACTGGGACTCGAAATACGGGACGAATGCGGTCTTCCCCACGTTCTCGAGATCTCCTTATGGAGATCGGGGAAAAACGGCAGACCCCGGCGGTGAGGCTGTGACCTGCGCTGCAGGTAACGCTCGTCCATTTTACTTGTGACTTGCGTTTCCTGCTCAGATTGTGGCCAGCTGATGTTTAGTCTGGCCACAGCGCTCGTCACAACCTCCACCAGCTCCTCATAATTCAGGCCGCGTGATGGCGCGCTGAGATCACGGTCGTCCGCATCAATGCTGAGCACGTCCATTTCCTCAGAAGCAGACAGCTCAAGCATCGGGACCTGATCGCGGGCAGGAGAAACCGCAGCGCGGGCTCCCACACCACTCTCAGAGGCTGCGGGATCAGCCGATGGAGAGCGAGAAAATGCCTCAGCATTCTCACTCTCCTCCGCCAGATCCCGCTGTGAACCCCAGGATCTCAGTCGCCGCATCGCCTCGACATATGCGGGACCGGAACCCTGGGGAACGCGAGCCTGACCGTGCTCGTCAAAGCACGCCAGCCGGGAGCGCAGCACTCTAATAGGCATAGCCTCACACATTTCACAAGCAGCCCCCTCGAGAGCTGCCCGTGCGTGCTGCACTCCCAAACAATTCACACAGAGAGAGTGTGCGTCCCCACCCGTGATGTAACGAGGGCAGGGATGCACACACTTCTTGAACTGCTCACTGGCCATTCTTTCCAATAATAAGACAAACAACTTACCAAATAAGACTGACAGTTTCAACATAAAGCGCTTGCTGAAGAGCGAAAGCTAGTGTGTGTTGTGACAGCGTCACTTTTATACTTCCGGGTATGCCGTCACATGTTACGTCACGACGCAACACCAATCAGGATTGGATTAGTTTCATTCATACTTCACAGGCGCACGCTTAGGGAGCGTCCCCAAAGAGTCGATTTTATCGACGCAGTGTTGAGTTCCCTCGATAGGGAACGTGTAGTGTAGTGTTCCAGGAACAGGGTTGGGAAACACTGGTATATACAATTAAAATATATATTTATTTTTTTCCCAAAACAAGTGTTGTGGTATTACCAACAGGACAGCAGTGATGTGTGAACTTAATTTGGCAACAATGCAGTGTATTACAGTGAAATTATTGAATATTTTTCATAAATATATATCATAAAAATTATGTCAAAATATTCTCCCCCAAAATTAAGTGTTGTAGTATAACCAATATGGCAGCAGTGATGTGTAAACTGAATTTGGTGACACTGTAGTGTGTGACAGTGAAGTTATTGACTGTTTTCGTAGCACCGCTTTTCGGGTTTTGCACTTTGCAGACGGTCCCTTCAGATGTGTCTCTCGGCCGCCAGTGCATAGACATATGAAGAGTTCAGATGCAAAAGCCTTTAAATGCCATTTGAAATTTTCTTCTTTAATGATGATTTTTATCAAACTTGTATATTTAAGTTCAGTAATTTCACTTAAATAACAATTTAAGTGAAATTACTGAACTTAAATATACAAGTTTGATAAAAATCATCATTAAAGAAGAAAATTTCAAATGGCATTTGGCTTTTGCATCTGAACTCTTCATATACACTAGACCTCACTTTGAAGAAAATTTCAAATGGCATTAGGCTTTTGCATCTGAACTCTTCATATACACTAGACCTCACTTTGGGGTTCTAAACATGCATCAAAACCGCTGCCATCTTGGAACAGGGGTCTTGTCATAGGAAGTACAGTAGCTAGGTAACGCTGCTATCTCTGCATTTACTTCGAATTCATTGATGGTGGCGGACTTTTGTGCAGCGTATGATGTTCACGGATGAAATCTGAACTAGGAAGAATGTTTTTTTAAAAAAAAAAAAAATTCTTTCTGGAATCAATGATAAATACATGTCTGACCGTTGGAACAAACCAAAAAAAACAAGAAAAATCGCATTCATGATGATTTATGGTGATTTTATTTCCGTTAGACCTGTGTCTACTACATTGACGCTGATGCATTAAAGTGGAGGGGCTCCCCTGTTTCAAGATGGCGGCTCTATTGATGCATTCGTTCCAATGAACTGCCGTAGCCAAGGTGAGGTCTAGTGTATATGTCTATGCCGCCAGTGCATAGAGATCTATCGAATTAATTTTGAGCCAATAAAAATGAACGTAACTTTTCAAGAAATGAATGAAAATATAAATTGAAACTGAATAAAATATATTTGAAACTGAAAAAGAATGAACCGCAAGCAATTTTTTTGACTTTGTTTTTAATACACTACATGTTTTGCTAACTATTCCTCATATTTCGTTTACTGATCTACACTTACAAATGCGCTTCCAGAGTTTTCAAAGTTTTCGTTTACACTCCCTGAGTTTGCGTTCGCTGTTCTGACACAAATCTCTCGTGGGGGCGGGGCTAGTAGCAGTGTATTCTCATTGGCTACTGAGTTTTCTTGACCTGGAAGTGAAGACGTCAGTGAATGTTGTGTTTACACGTTTGGATGTGAGCGTCTATAAGCGTAGCTTTCTATTTCATTTAGGTGATATTAAGTTTATTTCTTTATTTATTTACTGCTACACTATATTGTTGATATGATTTCTTATAGAAGGAATAGTACAGACAAATGATATAATTTGTCATCGTCGATATCAGAATACTGGATAGCATAGGCTACTCGTGGTAAGTTGTTTTGTTTTTTGTTTTTTTATTAATTAATACTAAACTAATACTAATTATAATACAGGTCTTGCTTTTTCAGGTGGAGAGGCATATTAGAGCTCAGTGAGAGCCCATAACATTATACAGCAGTGTTGTCTTGATTTAATTGGTAAGTTGTTAGCCCAATCATTACATGTCTTGTTTATCTAACGTTACATACGGTTACAGTCTTCGATTAGATCATATTTGCTTCAATTAGATCATATTTCCCCTCTGCCACCCCAAACAACATTGTGCTAGAGTACTGTACAGTATCTGTACTGTAGCCTACAGTACAAAATGTACTGTATCAGACAATGACCGATGCCATTGGACCAGAGCCCTGTCAATCACTGCCCGGTTCAACTTTGGCAATGTAAAGCCAATTGTTGATTAATTTGTGATGCAGAGTTTTTAAAAGAAGAGAGAGAGTACTTGACCATTTTCCACGTCTCCATTCATAATATGTAAACACTCATTTGTTTTGAAGTATAACCCTAGGCGCAATATTTATTCTGCAAAAGGCAACAAAATGCTTTTTCTGTATCCATATTTTAGTAATAATTATGTTAAAAAACAACAACATTTTGGAGAAAAATGTTGAATTTTTAATAGTCTTTAATAATTTATATATATATATATATATATATACAAATTCAAAACCTAATACATGCAAGTAATTATGACTGAAAAAATCCAGCAACTAGGGAGTAGACACTACACAGCCATGGATAAATGTTTATTGGGCTATAGAGCCACAGATGATAAATGGCTACAGATGATAAATGGTGTGTGAGTCAGGTAAACATTTGGTACTGTAAAATCCCTTAAAACATTTATATAATTTGTTTGAAATAATTATTTTAAGTCTGCAAATGGTTACTGCATGTGGGAGTTCAAAGCAGTTTGTATTGTTAGATTATAATATATTTCCTTTCTCATTTTCCAGGGATTTGAGCAACTTTTCCACAAACAAAATTCTGATGCTGACACAGATGATGGAGTGATAATACCAGAGATCAGCTGTCTCCATCAGACAATAATGTTACTTTGTTCAGACATATCACCTTTGAATGACTGGGATCCTTATCTTCAGACACCTGTTGTATTTTATTTTAATATTATAAAATAGCAAATATTTTAATTTCTTTGGAGCTCTAGATTAAAACAAACACAGTACACAAGAGGTTGCAGTTTATTCTTATTAGTCTCTGCTGATCATGGATTAGCATACCAACAGCATATGAATGGAATAGTTCATCCAAAAATAAAATTCTCACTTATTTTACTCACCCTCATGCTGTCCCAGATGCATTTTACTTTCTTTCTACAGATAAATACGAATTAAGATTTTAAGGAAAGTAATCCATCTCTGCAAGCCCTAAAGATGCTTTAAAAACCACACACAGTGACCGTGATGTCCATGTGACCTCAGTGGATGAATCAATACTGAAGTGAAACAATAGAATAAAAAATACAAATACTGCCATACATGGGTACAATCCACTGTATGTACAGATGTAGTTATGTGGACTCACAGAGATGTATTATTTCATTAAAAATCTTTGTGATTATACATTTTATTATCTATATTATGAGAATACTGTGCATTACATGTATAGTATGCAGTTAATGTATTGTGGATTCTGGTCTTTCCTGTCATAACTGCATCCAAGACTTTCACTTTGGTACTTGTGTATATGCTGTAGTGACAATAAAGAATGAATAAATTTATTAGATTTTTTATTTAAATTCATTTAACTGATTTTATAAGTCATAATTGAACCTGTTGATGATTGTTCAAATATATTTACCATTTTAAATGTTAGAAAATAATATTAACAAAATGAAATAAATAAAATTATCAGCATGATTTAAAAAATACCAACAAAAATATTCTTTGTGTGAAATATGTAATGAAATGCCCTTTGAGGTCTGTATCATCTGACAGCAACCCACGATTGTAATTTTCATATAGTTTAAATTCCTCTTATTTAAGTGATCATACATGATCATTTGATGGTGTAAATGCATATGGTAACAATGAGAAATTTGATGGCCATGGTTGCCAACCTTGATTACCTGGTTGAAGTGAAACTTTCTTGACTGCTGAATATATCACACACGTATACTAGTAGGCTATTCTCTTTATATTGTAATAGCACAACCTATTCAGAGCCTAACATGCAAACGAATCATCAAGAATAAACAAATATTCTCCTAAAACATTGGACAAAATATTTTAAGTAGTCATATACAGTGGGCCTACTTTGATGTACAATTACACCTGAATAGACTGATCTTTTGTGAACCTAAAAGCTTCTGTTGACAAAGTAATCGCAGCAGAAGGTAAATACAGATAAAATTAAAAAACAAACATAACTTAATATTACTAAAATTAAATAGAAAGCTGCGCTTACAGACGCTCACATCCACACGTGTAAACACAACTCTGACGTCTTCACTTCCAGGTCAAGAAGCTGTCAATCAAAAGCTCAGTAGCCAATGAGAATACACTGCTACTAGCCCCGCCCCCACGAGAGATTTGTGTCAGAACAGCGAACGCAAACTCAGGGAGTGTAAACGAAAACTTCAGAAGCGTAAATGAAAACTCTGGAAGCGCATTTGTAAGTGTAGATCAGTAAACGAAATATGAGGAATAGTTAGCAAAACATGTAGTGTATTAAAAACAAAGTCAAAAAAATTGCTTGCGGTTCATTCTTTTTCAGTTTCAAAGATATTTTATTCAGTTTCAATTTATATTTTCATTCGTTTCTTGAAAAGTTACGTTCATTTTTATTGGCTCAAAATTAATTCCATAGAGATCAATGTATTTTATCCACTGCAAAGGAAAGCTTGTTTCAAAATTAGGTTGTAGCTGCTTGAATGTGACATTTGTGTATTAAAGGGTTAGTTCACCCAAAAATGAAAATTAAGTCATTAATTACTCACCCCCATGCTGTACCAACCCCGTAAGACCTTCGTTCATCTTCGGAACACAAATGAAGATATTTTTGATTAAATTTGAGAGCTGGATGACTCCTCCATAGGCTTCCTAAGGGACTGGCTCTTGACGGCCCATAAAGTCATTAAAGGAAATGTTTAAATATTCCATGTGCCTACAGCGGCTCAATTATAAGTTTATCAAGCGACGAGAATACTTTTTGTGCGAAAAAAAAACATAAATAACGACTTTATTCGACTATTCCATTACTTCCTTATGGGCCTTGAGACGAGAATTGAAGAGATTTCCAGAACGCATGCGTGAGAACTGAGACGAGGACTTTCTTCTTCGCCTACTTCTTGTTACCGGCTGCTCACCGCTTAGGAGTATTACCGCCCCCCTACCGTATAAGATGACGTGCTGATATAGCTGGAAGCGCAAAACTTTCTGTTTACAAGCAGAGGAAGACGCGCGCTGTACATACGCGTTTCAATTACCGTATTTTCCGCACTATAAGGTGCACTTAAAAGCCTTTAATCTTCTCAAATACGACAGTGCTGTGCGCCTTACAATCCGGAGCGCCTTATATATGGATCATCATCTTATACGGTAGGTGGCGGTAATACTCCTAAGCGGTGAGCACAGAGCAGCCGGTAACAAGTCTAAGAAGAACGTCCTCATCTCAGTTCTCGCGCATGCATTCTGGAAATCTCTTCAATTCTCGTCTCAAGGCCCATAAGGAAGTAATGGAATAGTCGAATAAAGTCGTTATTTATGTTTTTTTTCGCACAAAAAGTATTCTCGTCGCTTGATAAACTTATAATTGAGCCACTGTAGGCACATGGAATATTTAAACATTTACTTTAACGACTTTATGGGCCGTCAAGAGCCAGTCCCTTAGGATGCCTATGGAGGAGTCATCCAGCTCTCATATTTAATCAAAGATTTCTTCATTGACAAGTCTGTCACTGTAGCAGAAGATTTCCTTTTACTTAGTGGGCAAACACTGTGTGACATTTCCAGATTATTACATGATGTTTACTAACCTCCTTTAAACTTTAACTGGAATATGCACATATTTGTCTTTTTCTCTCTCTTGTTAGAAAGACACTTCTGCAGGGAAACTGAAAAACTTTTACAAGTGATTGACAGTAGTGGACCCTCACAGAAGTAGTGCATGTGTGAGAGAGAGAGAGAGAGAGAGAGAGAGAGAGAGAGAGAGAGAGTAGTGTAATGCATAGGCGTCTGTCTTTGTTTACAAGCAGAATTTGTGAGCGATCTCCGGCTTCGCGGTATGATCCATGCTGACACACACACAAAGACAGAGAGAACAGATGGCCCAGGTTGTTATGTAGGCACAGAAAGTATCCTGCATTCTGTGCATATTTACCATGTAAAAATTACATTTTCCAACATAAAATATGTGACAATAAATTATCATTTCCCTTCATCAGCCATGAATGTGAGACCGGAGAACAAGTTTGATGCAGATACTGTATAACCGGTTCAGGATTCAATTTAAATCAATGATTCCTAATGATTGACAGATTTTTGGTTAAAAAAATTTAAAAAATATCACTAATTTTCTGGGAGAAAAATTTGTATTTTAAGCAATGACAGATTATACTTTTTTACATTCCACTAGAAAACTCTTTAAACAAACTTTGTTTATTTTTTGCACTAAGATTATCATCTACATCTTGCTGTACCTATACATATCCAAACCCGCCTGCAAATGCTAAAAAAAATCTCTCACATGCCTCCCTGCCAGCTGTTGCCATGGAAACGGCCCCATTGGTTGGCACTGTGAGCTCATGGGAGTGCCAAGTAGCAAACATCCCATAGTTAACACAGGAGACAGTCAGGCCACATGGTACAGTACGTGTAAATTATTTTATTATTATTACTGTGAAGAAGTAAGAGAATAAAATAATCAATGTTTACATTTTTCTTTGCAGGCATATAACACTAAAAGACACAAGGTGACACTAAAAGAGTCACCTTGATTAGAATAAATGCATATTTAAACAAACAGCTTATCCATGCATACACGAGTGATATCCTCTAAATCCACACAATACTCTCACAGCTGTGTTTAGACTGTCACTGATGTGTTCATATTCATACTCAGCTGTATAAGTTCTCAGCAATATATTAAATGGATAGTTCACTTTGAAATTAATTTTTGATATGTTTTTGCTTACTTCTAGGGCAACCAAGATGTAGTTGTCTTTGTTTCCACAGTATTTTCAATTTTGATATTTTCCGGTCAAACCGTTGTTGTCTATCAGTCATATTATGCAGGTTTAAGGGGGGCCACCCTCGGTTCACCTCTTAAGAGCATGTACAGAGAAGTCAAAATTAAACATGATTTAAAGGGGTCATGAACTGGGTTTTTAACTTTTATTATATTGTTGTCTGAGATCAACTAATGACGTTCGCTTGGTTTTTGCATTCAAAAACATCAAAATGAATAAGTAATAGGCTATTTTGTACCCAAGTTGTGAGCCTACCTGAAAAACGGTCGGTTTTTATGGGCGTGTCGCACTGAAGACTTGGAAGTAAATGCCCACTGCTGCGAGTGGAGAACAGTTTTGTTTAGTTTAACTCAGTTTAACTCACCCGTCGGTGCACGTGGGGGAAAACGTCCAATGTTGTAAAATGGCAACCGGATTCGCTGGTTGTCATTTCGGATTCATGTTCGACCCAGAGTCTGTGTGTTGAACAATTCCTGTCAGATCCAATATAGACGGCACAGCACCGTTCTTTACTCTTAATCGCTCTGCAAATCCAGTCTTGTTTACAAAACAATCCTCAGTGAAATGAAGCGAACAGACGACAATGTTTTACCCTCATCAGCTGGAACGTCATTAAAAATAAAGTTTATCCATGCAGTCCTATTGGAATCCACAGGAAACTTATGCAGCGACTGTCTTCCACAACCAGGCACTGCACAATATTCTGTATTGCTCGGTAGCTCGATCGTCATCACGAGGTAGGCATGTATGTTACTTAGCTATGCGTGTAATGCGCGAATCGGTGGGCGGGGCTAAACCGGCCGTGGTGAAGCAGGCGTTGATCTTCATCTGTGGGGGTGGTGTTTTAGCCTCTTTGACGTCATATTTCCCCACTTTTAAAAATGAGTCGTTTTCAGAGGCTGGTGTCAATAAAAGCTTTTATTGTACTAACAAGGACGTTTTCAGTTCTGAAACTTACAGGATATTCTTATAATATGATGACCTCTTAGATGTCAAAAGCTCAAGGAAAATTTGATTTCTCAGTTCATCACCCCTTTAATGACTTGTAAATGTAAGTACACATTGATGGCCTAAGACACGAAACGAGCGGTTTGTGTCAGAAAAAGAACAGTATTTATATCGTTTTTACCTCGTGTAACCACAGCCATGTCCAACTGATCTGACGGCACAGGCGCTTCGGTCTGCGCATGCGTCACTCATTGTTTACACAGAGATTTCGGAAGATTCACCTTTCACTAAACATATTTAGATATATCGAAATCGTCTTCCATTG